AAATTGTGTCATGATCTCGCGTCACGCTGTAAAAATAATATAGATTTCATTAAACGAATAGAAAATACTGCGAGAAATTGAATGACGTTGAACTTCTACATTTTTTATGGACGTCATATCAAATAATGTATGAGTAGATCGAGAAAGTTGCGCATCTTACTACGGTCGTCACGTTGCACTTTGGATAATGAATGACATTACCGTGTAAGATCCATCGCGTCGCTTATGAGGGAATATTTCATAGTTGGAAAAGTTATTTCTGTGCAACTATCAAACTGACAACTCTGTAACCGGCCGTATATTCTTAGATCGAAAGATGAGACATTTGCCATAAATCATATGGCACAAGTTTTTATTATCTTATTTTTATTATCTTATCAAATATTTTTTAATTAATCTACAAATGATGGGTGTTTCACGTATGTTCTTTCGATGGAAATTTGCAAAAGGGGAGATAGTAATTTTTCATTAAACTGCCACATAAAATGTATCGTAATGTTGTTTACGCAATATTCACGTTATAATACTTTATATAAATTTTATTACGGACTTGTTGTCGACTATCAATCCCTCGTAATACGAATAATAAACATAATTTTCTCGGGATATTTATCTAGCCGCTGTGAGCGTTTCGGAGACACGTTTACGAATGTTGTCAGAACGCGCCAAGTTTTACGTCGAACTTTCTACTTACTTGCCGGTAAATTGCTTTTCCGCGGGAACATTTCGAAGGATTGCGCTAAATGGAACGTCAAAAGTTTTCTTCGTGTTCAATTTTCTTCGAACTGTTTACTCGTGGTCTGATCTTGAACGGAACTTACCCCTTCGGAACACGCACCTCTTACTCATACGTGTAGCGTATATTTATGCGAGACATTTAACATGGCATTATTCTCGTAAGCTTGGAGTTTTAATAGGGACATTGGTTTTTAAAGATATTTTTTTTAATAAGAAAATATATTATTTTACTTGATAAGATATTATTTAGTCAAAAAATATTTTGTTATGAAATGGAATAATGAAAATGGAATTATATACATATATAATAGTACAAAAATGAAAGAGATTGTCATGTCGCTTGAAAGTAATAAGAAAAGATATTTGTTATTATGTTACATAAAATATTTTTATATCAATAATTATAATAAAAAAATGCAAATTAGAAAATATAAAAAATTAAACAATTATATGCCAACAAGTTTAATATTTTCACATGTTATTGAATTAGTTTGTGCATTTTTCTTCGATATCGTTGCTATCCTTATTACTTTCATTTCATTATGTATCTCTTGTATATATTATGTATTTTTTTATAACGTTATCTTCTTCTCGCGTTATGTAAATTTTCCGTTACATTTTTCGTACATCGACTGACTTCAATGAGCGAGTTATGCCATAGATATTATTGTTTAACTAAAGCTTTGTTATACTCCTCGAGAAATATACGGCACTCGCATTTTATTGTCGTACAAAATGCTTCTAGTATGTTAAATCAACCTTGAATTTTACACTTTTGCAACATTACGCGAGAGTTATATTCGCACACATCACGCTTCATTTCGTAAATCGTATTCGTTGAATCTCCCGTTGATGTTATTCACGAATTTTCTGGTAGATTATATCGGAGCCATTTCGCGAAGATTAAAACTTAATTGCCAGTGTATGAAGTTTAACGTGCCCGATGGGAGATGAAGGAAAGTGTCGTTAAGAGGAAATTAGCCAAGTTATCTTGTAACGCAGTTTAATTTGGTTTTAGTTAATATAGCAGTAAATTCATTTGGCGGTGTATCAAACAAATTATTTTGCACGAGTATTATAATCAAAATGTGTGCTTTCTAGTATTATATATATTTCATTGTTTTTGATATTATCTTTTATAGTTTAAAGATATTGATTAAAAGAGAATCTATGGATATTGCATATAATATATAGCAACCTTGGTATCTTTTTCCGGTAGTAAAGTACATTATAATTTATTTATATTAGCAACAAAGTAATAATGCTGATCTATCGCGTGGAACTTTGATATTAATCTTTTATCGAAAATGCATACATTAATGTACACATATGAAAATCAACAATTTATACTAAATACCAAGAGCATGGTCTGGCATGAGCTTATAATATTTAATACGATGTGGGATTATCATATATGAAACATTATAATTTAATATAATACGATATCTAATGATAAAATTTAGTGATTTTTAATCATTATAATTTTACAAGCGATTAGGCGGTGTTTTCAATTTACGAATCGTTTTTTGTATTAAGAACGAAAGTGCCGAAATTTTCATGAAACTTTTCTAATTTTATTCTCCAATGTAAACGATAATGTTCTTTAACGATAATGGCTGGGACATCTGATATTCGATGAAATTCTCGCGGCTCCTGTTTCATCGAATTCAATCCTACGGGATTTCCATTGGTTACTACTGGAGAATCGAAATGTGTCAGGCCATTGGCTCTTGCTATTTGAATGGATCGAAGTGAAGTACTCGGTTAACGTGTCCTATCTATGTTATACGGTCACTCCTCGATTTGATTGACATTCTTTTGTTCTCCTGGTAGAAAGTACATGAATACGAAGAAAAGGGGAAGAATAAGAAAGGAAGAAGCATAGTGAAAACATTGTAGCTAAGCTGAAAATTCTCTATTTTCAATTCACTCATTGTTATATAAAAGTCTAACTTTCTTGTTGAAAAATTTATTTCATTTCTTTTAGCTTTATAAATAACATTCACACGATTAACACACATGATCTGAAAAAACACGCAAAAAGCTTGCAATTCCAAACTTTCTGATATTTTTCTGACAAAGATATAACAAAACTCTGCATGTATCATAGTTTCTATTAACGTGAGTGGAACTTTTTGGGAAGCGAGTGTATATTCAGGTTTCTGAGCGGCTGGTGACACGGAAGTAACGCGCGATCGATTATGTCAGAGGGATGTAAATAACTCCACTTTACATAGAGGAAGAGGAAGTAAAAGTACCACTAAGTGGATTAACGATTCTCTTTAATGTATCATAGAATATTATTTCGCGACGTTTGAATGTAAATAAAACTGTCATAATTGTGACAATTATTATGATTATTAATATTTTTATATTTTTTACCTGATAATCGCATTTCTCGAAAAGAGAACTCGACTGAATCTCCAAATGAAAAAAAGGAATAAAAACAATTAATAATCTTCGCATCTGATGATAAATGAATTTCATTTGCATATCGGATGAGAGAATATGTATATATTGTATAATGTGTGTGCTAAAGCCAAGGCGATTATATAATGCCAGTGAACAAAGTGAATTAACAAGTTAATCTGGCAGCTTTCCGGAGCAGGCTAATTTGTGTATTTAGCGACTGTATATATTCTCTACATGATGGTTTCGAAAAGATCCCCGGAGTCTAGCGAAATTGAATGAGGTTACTAGCAATAAGGTAAAGTCTTCGGCTCTCTTAGTCTGTACTCGATACATCGATTATCGATTAAAGATACGTTTAGTAATTTTACGAACGAAAGAATTGGATATTGGATACATAAAAGTAGAAGTTTGATATATACGTATGTACGTACATACATATCTAGGATATATATACATATACATGTACACATATGTGCGTGTGTGGCATTAATATCTTTCGAAATTCCCTGTTCGTTGAAATTAGTTCGTCGAGTTTCTTTTTCTTGGCAGCGATATGTAATATTGGAAAGAGTAACTAGGACCAGACCTAATAAACATTTCATGCTTGATGGGCATCGCGAAAATTAATTCGATCAGCAATCAAGTGTAAGAATCGGATTAGGACTTTAAACACTTGTGTGAGAGAAGGCATTTGGTATTCTTTTATCTAGAATAATGCGGATTAGTGAGACTTAACATAATTGTACTTATCGTATAATCTTTTTGTGGAATTGATAGTTTCTAAAAATTCATAAAAGTTTTCTCGCTTCTTATGTTTTATTAGTATATTGGAGAAAAATTTTGAAGCCTCTAGAAAAATGTTAAGGACTATTTTTTATTGAGGTTGACGTATTTTGTTTTATATGTTATGAAATTAATAATTTTCGCAATTTTGTTTCCAAGTTATTCTTTAATGACTAGTGTCTAAGACAGGATTATATGTTAATTAAAAGCTGATATAATTATCTATATGTCTATTCTAATGAAAAGACACGTAATGGTTGCTACAACGAACCACGGATATAGAGCTTAGTATCTCGAAAGCTTACAAGCGATCGATAGGTTCATGCGGTAAAAGGCAACTATAACAGCAGGGTAAAAACAGGTGATCGACCTGAATGTTTCGTGGAATATTACATAAGGATATTAGTTCTCTCTAAAAGCTTGTACTTTCGATTTTGGCTTTTGCGGTTATGCAATAGAAAAGAATTTTCTTCTAAAGAATTCCTGTTTATTTAGCCGTTTAAATGGATATAAAATTTGTTATAGAAAATTCTTAAAAAATTTTTCCCAAGAAAAATGTGTGTTAAGTTGGAAAAATTGTCAAAGCTTTTAATTTGCTTAAAATTTTTGTTTAATATTTTTACAATCATATTTTTATTTTGTGTCAGTATTCTGCGTTTATTATTTAAAAGTTTTGTTATATATTGACGTACATACCACAAATAATATACAACAAATTAATTAAACCTCCTGATAGTAATCAGCGTATCCTGAAGCAGAAAATTGAGTCGATTTATACCAAGTACGAAGTTTAAGTGGAAAGTGCTTAAATACTCGGCGTACTCTAGAAGCTTATACGCGCTTTCAATCGATACATTGAACTTTTGGACAAAGTATGTGTCGCGCAGTCCGACTTCTAGTCATTAGGTTGCAATTTGCAACAGTTTGAACGTCGCATCGATTATAAACTATGCGCTGCGTCACCGTGCATGCGGTGGGAACCACCGTTAGTTACTGTATATTTTATGATATGACAGGGGTTATTAACCTCGTAATAATGTCCACGTCATTTTGATTTATGTTTGCAGAACGTCTTACGGGAGCTGGAACAAAAGAAACCGCAATTAGACGAACTGGTTCACACGGCCGAGAACTTGCGCGCTGACACGAATCGACAACAGTTGCACGGCAAAGGTAAGTCCTTTTTGTGTATCGCGACCGTGTATTTTCCAGGTCTGTTTGGCAATCCTAACGATACGTATAAAGCCGGTATTTCGCCTGATTGCGGTAGCACAATTTTAACATTTTTTGAGATGTGGATATTCTTTGGTAATTGATTAGATGTTTACATACCATATGTAATATATTGAAATATATAAATATTAATAAATATTAATAAATATTAAATATAAATATTGAAATATATATATATATATATATATATATATATATATATATATATATATAACAGAATTTTACAATTGCTTTGTAATGTATAGACTTGAGAAAAATTCGGACTTATCATGTTTTTCAATATAAAGAAAAGTACACGTTATCTTTAAAAATGTAAAAAATTCTATGTAATTTGTTTTAATATTAGAAGATACAGACTGCAAGCTGTTAAGAATTAAATGAGTTGCTTTTTGCAAATTTACAATAGATTGCCTAGAATCTTTTATACGAAAAAATAGAAAAATAATCTTACAAAATACATATACGTATATTTTCTTTTTTTTTAACATTTTGTTAATTTTTACTTTCTTCACGAATATTGATTTTTAAGAGAGTATTTTACTATTGATTTATTTGTGCCGGAAACTTTTATGAAGTGGACAATGAAAATATTTTCACGAAAAGCATTCGATAAGTGCATTGAGATCTAATGGATTTAATGAGTTTCTGTCGTCATAATTGATACTGGAGAAGCAATCCTGCCTGCGCAGCACTTTCCGCAATCGGGCGAAGTTTAGAAGTTTAATTATCGGCTATGATTGCTCGCGCCCGAAGACTGTAATAAATTGCAGTAACTGCCGATCGATGTAAATTCGGTCTGCAAATTGTCCTGAAATTAATTGTCGTATACCGATTTGTCATTGAATGTCCAACGCCAGCGCAATGCATCACGAAGGCATTGACGGTTTTAACCGCAACACTTTTCATAATCCACGATGTCATTTAATTGCATATTAACATTCTATGCATTGCTTATATGTGGATATATATGCCGATATATTTTATCATAAACGCGAAACATACGACAAGATTGAACTGTGTAATCAAATCGTTAGAATTAATTAATGATTCACGATAATATTAATAATTTTCGTGATATACGTATTTCTAAATAATCAGAATTAATTAATTTGAAAGTTCTCTTACGTTTCTAAATCGACTCTTAAATTCCACGTGAATAGATGCAATTTAAAGTCAACGAAGTAGATTACTTGCGAAGCCGCTAACTATTTCAAGCCTCCTGAAATGTTCTCTTTCTCCATCTCGGCATTGTTCTTACTATATTAGCGTTACAAAGCTTGTTAGATAGGTCTGCGTCTATCATGACGTTGTAACTAGACGATCCACTTGCCTTTAATATTTTATGAAAATGGGAAATCATACAGTAATTGAAAACTTGTTGATTTTAAATAATTATTTAAATATAATTTTGTGAAATAAAATTTATGAATAACTATATTATTTATATCTCATAAATCAATTTTTATTAATTTTTAAATATATTTTATTACGAATAATGAGATATATTATTTTTTTTTTTACGAAAAATGAAGTGGAACACAATTGAACATACATAAATTCTGAATTTAATCGAAAGCAGTAATGTTCTAAAAGCACAAATACAATGGTGTTTCTAATAAATTACATCGATCTTAGATCTGTGAGCTTTTTAGTGGTAGACGAGACTTATCATACTGTTAATCATTCGTTAGGGACCGGACTTTACTTGGGGTTTACGAAGTAAATTTTTTCCTTTGACCATAGATTACCGAGGTAGCGTGTCTGCCTTCTCGACTTGAAATGGCTTAACACGCAAGATTGATCCTTCTTGCAGCGTAACATGTGCATATCAATCTTTTGAAATTTAGTTAAATACGTTCTTGTCTACATTGGATACAATGAATATCTTCTATTAAACTATAATTTTTAATACTTTCTATTTGAAATATATTTAAAATAAGATAAGAATATTAACTACAAATAAAATAGTACATCAAATAACAAAATATTATAATACATTTAAATATTAATGATAAAATAAATAATATGAAAAAATATATATTTATTTATGAAATATAAATAATAATATATCTATTTATAAATTTTATATAATTTCCAATTATATAAATTATAAAATAATCTTAGAAAATCATAATTGCATATCGACAAAACAAATTGTTGAAAATTATTTAGAAGCAGAATCAGTTTTTGCACACGAATTTCGTATCAAGAATATCTGCAATAGAACATTTCTCGTAACCGTAACGTGAAACAAAAATATTTAATTATTGAATTGTCAAGAACGATTAACGTATCGAAAGATTAAATCCGTGTATTACTGATTTCACGAACATTTTTCATAATAGGCAGGTTATCAAGAGCGCATATATGCCACGTAGTGTTGCCGTTACCTGCCGGACTTTAATTACAAACACGAAACGTACGGAACACGCTACCATCCGCACATTTCACCTGCATAGATTACCACGTTCTTCCCCGGCTATACGCTAGTAGAGCTGCTTTAAGTGGCGTTAACTCGCACCGTCTTGGAATTGCCTGGCAAAGTTGTCGGTATTCTCTCAACCCGGTTCCTACAGCGTTTTAGCTCCTTCTAATCAGTGTAGATTTATGCACCTCGAAATACATATGCGATGCATCACTGCCGTATCGTAACTCTTGTGTTACAGAGAGGTAAAATTCTCTTTTAAAAAAGAGAAAAAAAGAGATTCGTTCAGTATTGATGTTTGGTTGGTGAACGATATAGTTGATTTTTTAATTCATTTTCTGATATTCATTTTCTAGAAAAAAATTAAACGATTAATGAAATTAATTAGCATTTAGAATTTTCAATTAACATCATATTTTTTTATATATTATGAATGTAACATTTTTTTGTCAAGTTCGCGAAAACTAATGTAATTCTATGATCATAAATTTTTATTTGTTGCATTGAGACTTTTTATTTCATGAGAAACTTGAAACTTTCGTTGTATATATTTTAATATATATATTTGTGTGTGTACAATTGTAAAAAACATGTGCATCAATATTTACTTGTCAGTAAATTTTACTTTAATATCTTGCATTTTTAACGTGGCTCTAAATTAGAATATCCCGAACTAGGAATAGTACAACAATGTAATCTATGGCGCATACGTTTGCATATTTCATTCAACGCTTAGCTCGTAAATCAAGAATATCAGGTAGACATAATACATTTAGGCCACATAATGAGTTAATTGCCGCTGGGTCTGGAATATCGCTGCTGGTTACCTACGTCTAGTGGCTCTTACAATTTGCCCAAATAAGCTCAGCAATTTATGTTCATACCGGCTGCGAGTTCCAGAAATCGATTTGTCTCAGCACAATTTGGATTCGTCCATGCTGCCCTCGGTAAAACGGTAATGATCTATATTGGCTTGCGACATTCAGCGTTATACGATTATATACTCGATGAAGGTCTTCGATTCTTATCACGATCTCGGGCAAATTTATTTAAGGACATGCGGCTCGAGAGCGAAATCGTAACTTTCGCTCCAAGAGATTTTAGAGGGATAGGTGGACTTCAATAGCTATGCAGGTATCCGAGCGGATATTTTCCACGAAAGACCGACTTATCGATTTTCTTTCAATCGTCTTCATAGCAGCTGCCTGCCTCCCACACATACGTTGCCTCTATTTTTCGAACGCTACCTAGGTAAATCCTACTAGCACGCATACTCGTCGCATCGATTCCTTCTCGTTGAATTCCGCATTCACTGCCGGCACTTCTATGACTTCCCTGACGAATGGGTAGAGGGAACGAAATGGAGGAAAACGTCTCGAGATAAGCCTGCCGCCTGTTTCTATCTTCGCAGCTAAGGCGCCCCCAGCTTTCCGGGAGGAAATGCCTTCTCGCGTTGCCTCTACGCGTAGTCCCGCTTTATCAATGCTGCTCAAGATTAAAACCGATCAATTAGTTCAACGCCATGACCGCGTTATTACATTCTGTTCGCGACTTTGAGAAATTTCCTTGTCATTTTGAAATGAAAATACTTTGCGACTAAAACTTGCTCCCTTTAGTCGTCATACGTTATAAAATCCTCTCTCGACTTAGTATAACACATACATAAATCTCGATATCTTAATATACGTATCTCAAACATCTCACAGTATCCTATGGAAACTAATATCCGAATGATACTGCGCAGAGCTAGTTTAGATATCACAAGGGTTCCCGTGAGTAGATCGACATTACTCCCGGATACGGATTACAGAAGCGTATGGTATCGACCACAGCAATATAGTCGTGAGATTGACTGATCCACACATCAGAAACGTACTCAAGGAACACTTCAAAGCAACGATATGTCCGCGTGTATGTACACAATATCTGTTATAATTTAATATCGGCAAGTTAAAGGGATAAAACCTGTAACAAGCCTTATTCTTATGCACAGTGTATCCTAATATAGACTTAATTGACGTAAAAATAAAGATAAAGATAATAATATAAAAGGAAGAATAAAGATAATAATATTAAAATGTTATTTTTTTTTATCATATTTTATTTTTTAAGAGTTATTTTCCAAAGATTTTTCACGATAACGCGACGCAAAATCGATATCTTCGCTAGTCTTTGCAATTTTATGCTTGTTTTTTGTCGCTTCATCCAATTCGCGTAACATGAAATAAAACTGTTATTTTGTGAATGGGTTTGCGTTTGCTGCTTCTATCGTGAAAATGCAGTTTCAAAAATACAGCGCGCGGGATTGTATGATAGACGATTGTTAAACTAATAAATCCAGGTTTCGGAATTATACTATAAATATTCGACATAGTTGATAACGTTTGTCATAAAAATATTTTCGGTATGATTTTTGCCATATATCTTGACAATTGCATCATATTGCATTATATGATATATCAATTTTAACATTTATCATGGCTGATAAACCTTGTTATTTTGATTATATGACAAT